TTTTAACAACACAACATTTCATTTCAACTTTAAACAACAAATGGCACAACATACAACTTTTTAGCAACATACAAGTCTCCTCTAACAACTTAACAATATTGTCATCATGTACTTCACAACATATACATGTTCACACATAACATATAACAACTTTATCAACTTAATTTCAACTAACTTCAACTATGTCATAGATCAACACACAACTTGTAAATAACTTCACAACTTAATTACAACATGCATCTCCAACAACATCATTAATAAATATTTAATCATATATTAGCAACAAATAATATTTTCATCACATAATACAACTCATACTAATCAACCTAAGTACCCAAATGAGTTCCCAACTCACATACAACCAACAACTTTATCATCTAGCTTCCCTTACCTGAAAATTGGCTCAAAATAGCCAAGAAGCGAAATTCCCTTTTCCGAAGCTCAACCCGGAACTTCAATCCACCCAAAGCAAGCTTCCTTGTCCAGAGTCCTTCTCTCTAAAACCTCTCTCTAAAAACCTCTATTCCTCTCTCTGAATCCAGAATGGCCCATTCTGCACCCCTTCATCATGGGCAAAAATCACATGCAGAATGGCCCGTTCTCCATCCAGAACGGCCCGTTCTCAACTACGACTTACAGGTCAATTTAATAACTTGGAATGGCCCATTCCAAATTAGGAACGACCCGTTCTGAGCTACTGAATCACCCATATTGGGCTTTTGAGCCTGAACTTGCTACATCACAGGCTCAACTTGGGATGCTTGAAGACTCGGAGTGATTTAGTGTTCTATTTTTGAATTAGGAAGTTTAGTTTTAAATTTCTGTTTTTTTTTCAATTAGGTTGTAATTTCGTTTAATTTCTGAACAATTGTCTTGGATTATTTTGCTAAAAACTTTATATTTTGATACAATGTGAAGGTTTATTGGTGTTATATTGTGTTTAGAATGAGTTAATATTTTTGTTTTGGTTGGTTGATTGCTGATGGCAAAAACTAGGAGAAGTGATAGGTGTTCTTCTCCTCGGATTCACCAATGCTTGGACCTCTTCAATGGAGCTTGAAATCCGAATGTAAGACACTTGAAAGAGTGAAGGTTTTTCTTAATTACAACATCTAACCACACATCATCACAAATAACTTTATTGTTCTATCTTGGATTAGAGCAACATCATGAAGATCTGCATTCTCTTTAGCCTAACATTTGCTTATGGTTTCCTTGGAAATGGTTTTTCAAATGCCAATCCTCTCCCATATGATGCCATTTTCAATTTTGGTGACTCTATAAGTGACACGGGGAATGCTGCTACTTACAACCCAACTATGCCTAGTAATAGTCCTTATGGTTCAACATACTTTAATCATCCATCTGGGCGTATGTCAAATGGACGACTCATCATTGATTTCATAGGTATTTTGTATTCTTTTCTTTTTAGACAACTTAAATAAAATTTACTTTCACAAAGGGAGTATATGAAACATTAGATCTTAACAATGACATATTGATGATCACACTAACTTGTGGTCATTTTAATTTTAGCTGAGGCATATGGGTTGCCAATGTTGCCACCATACTTGAATCTTACCAAAGGACAAGACATTACTCAAGGAGTAAATTTTGCATATGCCGGTTCAACTGCACTAGATAAGGATTTTTTCATGCAACAAATGTTGGAACTAGACGCAGCTTCTTATTCTTTAAGTACTCAACTTGAATGGTTTAAGAAGCTCAAACCCTCCCTTTGTAAAAGCGAAGGTCTTACCCAATTAAACTCCTTCATTAATGTTTTTGTCGAATATTTGAAAATTTTCTCAATGTGATTAACCGTGTACCCCTTTTTATGACAGAGTGTGATAGTTACTTCAAAAACACATTGTTTATAGTGGGAGAGATTGGTGGCAACGACATTAACGCAATCATCCCGTATAAAAATATGTCAGCACTTCGAGAAATGGTTCCACTTATTGTTGAAGCAATTACTAATGCCATCACCGTATGTTATAGCAAACTTATGCCAACTCCAATTTTAATAGTTTAATTAAGCTTGGGTTTGAAATATGGTTTATTAGAAATTGAATCTTATTTTTGTTTCTATTCGCCAGAAATTAATAGAGGAAGGAGCAGTAGAGCTAGTGGTACCGGGTAACTTCCCAATTGGGTGCAATTCTGCTGTTTTGGCAAGGGTGGGCAGTGATAAGAAAGAAGACTATGATCAATTTGGGTGTTTGGCAGCTTACAATGCTTTCATCGAGTACTATAATGGACAAATCAAAAAGGCTATTGAGACATTAAGACAAAAGAACCCACATGTTAATGGCGTCGGCGCGTGTCGTAGTGCTCGGCCTAGGTACATCCTTAGCCGATGAGGGTACTCGGGAAGGAAACTTGTAGGGCTCGAGTGCACGTAGTTTGAGTGGGCAGCCGAGGATTGCTCGGTGTCGCCGCGTGTCGTAGTGCTCGGCCTAGGTACATCCTTAGCCGAGGAGGGTACTCGGGAGGGAAACCTGTATGAGCACGACCTGAACGTGTATATATAGTAAAATAGAGAATGGAGTGATCAATTTTCCAAAATGTCTTTGTATTAATAAAGTGCCTCGTAAAAAACCTTGCCGACCCAAAACCCTCCTTAGGGAAAAAAGAGTCGGCCAAGGAAAAGAGTGCACTATTACATCAGCTGTAATACATCTTTAGGTGTGTGGAATTCCAAGTCCTAGGAATAGGTTCTCCTGATAGGTATTCTAGCTTGAATGCTCCGTTGTTTAGGTTGTGTCAGACGCGGAAATCCTTGTGCACCTCCAAGGAAGTAGTATAAGGAGTAAAACTGGGAATAGTCCACTCCTTCTTCACTATATCATGAAGTCGAGATTCATTTTTCTTTAAAATATTTTGTTCTAAAATCTCTACTTCATGACTAGTGGTAGTATAAGGGTTAGAGTTAAGGTCTTTATGTGTGAAGTGAGTATTTTGCAATTGGTTTTCAGAACAACTTTCTTCACTCTCAAGGTATAGGCCCACAACACTTTGGCAAACTGTTCGGCCCATGCTTCCTTCGCTTCTCCCAACCGCTTCTTCAACTCTGTCAGGATGACTTTGTTGGCGGATTCGGCTTGGCCGTTTGTTTGTGGGTGTTAATAAAAAAACTGATCCATGACACATTTCTTGTACCTTTTCCTACTCATAAAACTGTCAAACTTCAGGTACCACTGCCTTGGTGCTTGCTTCAACCCATACAAACTCTTGGACAACTTATAGACCAAGTTCTCCTTCCCTACTATTTGGAAACCCTTTGGTTGCACCATGTAGATGTTCTCATCAAGGTCACCATGTAAGAATGTTGTATTAATATCTAGTTGCTCTAGATGTAGATTCTCTGCAGACACAATGCTCAACACGAGTCTAATGATAGTCATTTTAACTACAGGAGAGAAAATCTCATTATAGTCAATACCTTTTTTCTACTGATAGCCTTTTACCACTAACCTTGCTTTGTGTCTCTTGTTGCCATCATGTTCTTCCTTGACCTTGATCACCCACTTGTTCTGCAATGCCCCCTTTCTTGCTAGTAGGTCAGTCAAAACACCAAATTTTATTCTTCTCAAGTGAGTTCATCTCTTCCTACATGGTTAATTCCCACTAGGTTGCATCATCCATCTGCAATGCCTCATGATAATATAGAGGTTCTCCATTGTTAGTCAACAATAAGTAATTTGCTGAAGGAGAAAATCTATGAGGAGGCCTAATAACTTTGCTAGATCTCCTCACTTCAATTACTGGAGTGATTGGAGTGGTATCCTCAACTGTCCTATTTCCTAAGCTTTCACCTCTTCTTGCAAGGTCGTCTTTTGTAATGTCATCTAACACTGCCTTTTACCTCTTTGTTGGTTTCTTTTTAGCTTCAACATTTGTCTCAAGTTTTTCCTTTTACAATATATTTTCATTGAAAGTAACATCTCTACTTCTAATGACCTTTCTGTTTTAATCATCCCAAAAGCAATATCCCATATCATTTGCTCCATAGCCAATAAAAATGAACTTTCTTGCTTTTGGATCAAGCTTGTCCCTGTCAGCATCTCTAACACAAACATAAGAAACACAACCAAATACTTTTAGATGAGAAAGACTTACATACTTGCTTTGTCATTTCTCCTTAGGAATCTTGAACCCTGTGGGACTTGAGGGTCCTTGATTAATGAGGTATGCTTTTGTGCTCACTACATTTTCCCAGAATATCTTTGATAACCTTGCATGAATTCTCATACTCTTTGCCCTCTCATTCAAGGTCCTATTCATTCTTTCAGCAACACCATATTGCAAAGGTGTCTCAAGAATAGTTTTAAGCATTCTAATTCTATTATCAGCACTGTAATTAACAATTTTAGTACTATTATATTCACAACCATTATCAGATTTTAAACATTTAATTTTTAATCATGTCTCATTCTCAACAACAACTTTCCACTTCTTAAAGGTATTAAATACTTCTGATTTTTTCTTAAAAAATAAACTCATACCTTTCTAGTGGAATCATCAATGAAAGTGACATAGTATTGTGATCCTCCCAATGATGAGATTGATGTTGATCCGTACACATCTGTATGAACAAGCTCCAACTTCTCAATCTTGGGAAGAGTGACCAACAACATCACTGATTGAATTTACTTCTTCTATAAGTAATTCTACCATGTAAAAGGTTCCTTTCTTCTAGTCACGAACAACAATTGGATTACTCTTCATCACCTTCCACTGACCATCTCTGAATATAACTTGATATCCTTGAACATACAACATACCCATAGAGATTAACATTCTTTTGAGTCCTAGAATATATCTAATGTCCTTCAGTGTCCATATTGTACCAGCAGAAGTTCTAAGATTTATATCTCCCATGCATACTATGTCTAAAACTTCACCATCTGCTAGATGAACTTTTCCAAAATTCCTAGTTCTAAAATTTTTCATCAAGTCCTTGCAAGGAGAAGCATAGAAAGATTGTTTGTGGGTGTTCGACCGACGTGACCTTGTGTTGTATTCCTAGGCCGGTTAGGAACTCATTGAGTTTTTGGTCTGTGAATTGAAGGCCGTTGTCGGTCACCAGGGTTGATGGGACACCGAAACGGGTAACGATATTCCTCCACAATAATTTTTAGACTTGATGGACCGAGATGCATGCCATCATGAACTCAAATATGTAAAACAAAAGCACATATAGGTAATTTCAGATTCAATAAGAAAATATGCAAAAAAATTTGGACACAAACAACACACAAATAAATAGGCTAAACAAGCTATTCTAGGAATTATCAATATATAAAGAACTACACATAACTTTCTAAGACAAAACAAGGATTCAAAAACAAAAATCTAAGGAAATGGATGAAGTCCAATCACGGACACATGCTAGGAAATGATAGACTCAAACAAAAACAAAAAGAAGCACAAGCAAATAGGTCCTAAACATATTGATTGTGAAAGAAAATCAAAATACAATCAATCAATGGATCTATGGATAGAAATTTTTTTCAAAAACAAATAGATCCAAAATGAAACTCAAACAAGACACATAAGAACACAAAGACAACAATACAAACGGACCAAAAAAATTAAGGAAACTTATCTCCAAGAAGAACCTTGCTCTTGATACCAAAAATGATGGCAAAAACTAGGAGAAGTGATAGGTGTTCTTCTCCTCGGATTCACCAATGCTTGGACCTCTTCAATGGAGCTTGAAATCCGAATGTAAGACACTTGAAGGAGTGAAGATTTTCGGACTTAGGGTTCCTAGACTATGGATGGAAGCATCCAAGCTTAAGGAACAAAGGAAAGCTCACTTCAAAAGGTAGGAAACCTAGCTAGGGTTCCTAAAAAGTGATGGCTCTCTCTTGGTGACTTTTGGAAGAAACTTGGCAGAATATTTGCTCTCAAATTTCATATATCAAAAGTGATTACAATGAGTGAAGGAGGAAGCTTAAATGGATCCGGAATTAGGGACACTTGGCGCCAATGTGGAGGCTTCACATGTGGCGCCAAGTTTTGAATTCAAATTTTGAATTTGAATTCAAAACTTAACTCACATGTGCAAGTCCGGTTCACATTGATGCTAGGTGTATTTAGGTTTGATTTAGTGTGCATTTAGGGTTGAATTTGAGTCACACATGTTCAGCCAAGGTGGCACCATCCATGTGACTCAAAATGCAACTTAAATGCATGTTAAATTAAACCTAGTTTTGTCTAATTCAATTAAACTAATAATCCTCCTTAAATCCTAATCTAATGACCTAAATACAATGGTCAATGAAATACAAACATTAGGAAATAATAAAAGAAAGAAAATGAGCCCAATATTGGGTACCAAAAGCCTAAAGGCCCATGAAGCCCAAAACTAGGCCCAATAGCCCTATGGCCCAAAAATGCTACTCTATGTAGTCTAAAATACAAGACCAAAATATGTGAAACCTATACTAATATAATATGTAGAAAATATAAGAAAAATAGATATATCAAGAGATGGTCCATGTGAAGTTCAAATTGGGCCTTCCAGGCCCATCAGGCCCATTGGGCCCTGACTGGCCCAAACCTTCATGTCTAGCCAACTCCTCTTGGCTCCTTCAATGTGTCACCCCTTGCCTTCCTAGGCATGATTCCATCAATTGTGCAATGTTCTATTTTTTTAACATTGATATGTGGTAATTGATGTTTGCTGGTATATTTGATACTTTGAAATGTGATAATGTACTGCACATTGTGATTTTGGCTGAAAATTTGATGTTTTTGTTGATCATATGATACTTGTGGTTTAGATATTGTGCTTAAAAGATCATAAAAAATTTTTGATAAGTTGATTGGAACAATGCCTATGTTATGCATAAATCAGTCTTGTGACATTGATTGTGAGCAAATAAATATTGTGCATAAGTTCATATATGTGTAATCTGGACATACATATATTGCTTTGTTTTTTATGATGTCCAAAAGGGGAGAAAGGTTTTTGAGCTTGTTTTGCAGGATTTAAAATGTGGAAAGATGGTTTATGGTTTGCAAAACAAAGTGGCTTGGCTTGTATGGTTTGTCATCATCAAAAAGGGGGAGATTGTTGAGATTCAGAGTAGTGAATCAACTCATATCTGGAGAATGAAGGTTTTGATGATAACAAAGTATGGATCAAAGCTGACCAAGGACATCAACAAGTCAAAAACAAAGTCAAGAAGAAAAATATGACTATTATGTTGTGTAATAAGAGTAGCTTATAAATTATATTGTTTTGTTGAGCTTATTTTTCATGTGTGTGCTTTGTGCATAAGCTAATCTTTATGTAATCTGATCAAGAGTGAGTATGATGATGAGTTTGAAACTTAAGAAGTTATTTTGA